TGTTTGTTGTTGTTGGTTTTTATTGTGAAATTATCTGTTATGACTAAATTTTATTTTGTGGGGTGATCGTTTTTTTTAATGTATTAATTACAATGTAATTATTAATAATAATGAGATATTAACGATGAAGGATGATAAATAATTTGTTTGATATAAATAAATATAACACTGTGCAACAAATATAACAGACTGGCTGCTAGTGAAATTCCTTTCCTGGAAATATTGAAGAAATAAAAAAAACTTCGTATACGTCTTTCTGGACCTAACTCAGTACAGTGGTGCACAATTTACATACAATCGAACGAAACTATATATGGGAGCTATATCTAAATCTGAACCGATTTCCACAAAACTTCGCATACATCAATACAGACCTATTTCAGTACGCTTTGCTACATTTTGTTTCGATCGGGCAAATGTTGGGTGTTTCGTGCATCATTTAGATAAAATCGGACGAAAATATATATGGAAGCTATATATAAATATGAACCGATTTTCTCCAATTTCAATTTCATTGCTGAGTTGACAATCCCTGGCCGAGTTGGACTCCGGAGTGTAGATCCGATTGCTAACGTCATTACATCCTATTTTGCATAAAGATCTTTTAAAGGTCTGCTGACACAAGAGCGCAATCCGGTCTACCATCTTACTTTGCTGATTTGATACTTTGAATGCCTGAAATTAATCCGAAATTTCATCGAAAAATTGTCCTGATTTATAAGACCCATTTCCACCTTGGTGCCTACGTCAACAAGCAAAATTGTCACATATGGTACACCGTAAACCCAAGGGTTGTAATTGAGACGACTCTACATCCTCAACATGTGACTGTTTGGTGCGATTTATACATCGGCGGGCTTATTGGACTTTCTCGAAAATGTGGTTGGATCAGCTGTGCCGAGAACAGATCGAGAGATGATTAATTATTTTTTATGGTCAGAGTTGAATGGTATTGACCTGGTCAAAAAGGACATAGGACTCTCAAGATACCATTTGGCGGATGCCATTATTCATATGTGGTACTCAATCCCTAAGAATATAAAAAGATAGATGCCGAGTGCAGTTGATGTAAGGGAACACTTGCCTATGGAGACCACACACTATCGGTCCAATAGCATAATATTGAAAAATATAGCTCCTTGGCAAAATCGACTGGCGTTAAAAATCCCCAAGGTACGCAGATATCCAAAATAACTACACGCTCCAAACGACCATAGTCTCACGAGGCCAACGATTGATATCCCAACCCATGCAACAACACTAGGGCAGACAGGCTTAAATACTCAAAGCCCCATCTCAACTCCTTTTAGAGAAGGAATAACGGCTGTTACTTCTTATAAAATTAGTAGAAACTTAAGATCGCCTTGATGTCAAATTCAATCAAAGTTATCCAAGAAGTACTTAAAAGTAAATGGTCGCCTATTTTAATTGACAAAACTGTTCCACTTAAGCAACATAAAAAGGGCAATTCTGCGTGATACACCACAATTTGTTCGAACGCAAAATCAACAGAAGCAGGCGAAACCATAACGATGCGAGCTGGCACATTCCCGCAAATCAAGAAAATATGGGTGCTGAAGCGTTCCAAAAAACCATGTTTTGGTGTTTTCTAAATTGGAGTGGAAGAAAAGTGCATTGACCAAATCCCGTCCTATTTTCGAAATGTTTACGGTTCTAATCAAATTTCCCCCCTAGTATTTCGTTTTCTCACAAGATTAAAAAAGCACCTAATAGACATTTTAATGTATAGGACAATGTTATGGCATAGCCACCCCATATAAGTGTTCGCACAGATTTTATGTATTTTGAATGACTACCTTATAGTGGATAATTAAATATCGCCATCAATCGACTTGCCTCCTGGTGCGCTTGTCACCTGGATCACTTACACATTATTAAAATTCTTGGTAATTTCGGAATCTATAAAGCAATGCCGTAGGTCTAAGAATAGAGATGTTTCCAGCTGTCTTCTACCATTGTTGAAGTGTTTGGTTTTTGTAATTTAATAGTCAAATAGAAAGATACATGCGTTTCTTAAACAAATTATTTGTATTTAATAAAACGATATCCGGTTGCTAGAAGAGCAGATTTTCCCGTTCGCAGTATATATGTTACACAGTGTTATCAAATATAATATACATATATGTAAATTATGAATATATACGTAGGTGTGATATAGGCAATGTTTCTTTTTTATTGTTATGAATATAAATATTGCTTAACGTTTGTTTGTTTGTTTGTTTCTTTCTGATTCAACAATTTATGGTTCTTTTTTAAGAGCTCTACTTTGTAATTGAAGCTGTATTCAAATTATTACAAGTACAGTTTTGCACATTTAAATATTGGTTGCAATGAATACTTTATTTATTAATGTTGGAGCGTATATAAATGTGAAAAATTGTAATTATAATAATTTGAATCTCTGATATGTAGCTATTATGGGAGAACAAAACAAATATTTACTTAAAAAATTTTTATTTTTTGTTTATTTAAGTGCAAAAATATTTGTATTTTCTTTTACCTTTTTTGTTGTTATAAGTCTTAATTGTAATTAGTGAAATTTATGTTGCTTATATGGTTATTTAGCTTAATATAAATATCATTATTATTTATTATCATTTGTATTTTTTTACTATATGTATTTACAAAACAGTTGAGTATAAGTTGACAGGGCTTTCGTTTCTTTGCAAATTGTTAAATTTTTCATCTTTAAAATCTTTACAACCAATATTCTTAATATTTTTTCATTGTCTTCTGTTCCTTTTTCGTAACAAAAAATTACTTTTTTGAATAATTTATTTTTTGGATTCATTCTTTATTAAAATCGTTTCAATTTCTACAGTCTATTTGGTTTTGTCCTTTTAATTTCTCCATCACTTTTATCTTTTTTTCTAATAACTACAATTCCATTTGTCTTTGTTATGAAAATGTAAAAAATAAATAAATACATACAAAAAAAAACAACTTAAATTAAAATTTAAAAATTATAGCAATTATTGTTTTTGTTGTATACATATTTTTTGTAAAAGGCACATTTTGCAAAATTTAATTGTTGAAAATTTATCATACCAAAAAAAAATAAATATTTCTTAATTCTTCCTTTTATTTAAAACAAATGGAGGGAATTTTTTGTTTTGGTAATAAAATATAGGGGGTGTATTAGGGGAATGAATCATAATTGTATTGCAAAAAAGAATCAAATAAAAATTAAAAAGTTTCGCTTTCTCTCCGTGTTCTTATATTTTTTTAATGGAAGATCAGTTTGGCATTTGGTTTTTTTCTTGTTTTTGTGTTTATTTATGAATTGTTAAATTAAAAATTAATTTGGCAGTTGAATATTATTTTAAAATAGAAAATTGTAAAAGTTCATCAACATGAACCTTTTTCTATAAAAAAGGCTGACATTTTTTAATAGAAAAACTTCACCAATGAACATTTCTCTATAGAAAAAGTTCACCAATGAACATTTTTCTATAGAAAAAGTTCACCAATGAACATTTTTCTATAGAAAAAGTTCACCAATGAACATTTTTCTATAGAAAAAGTTCACCAATGAACATTTTTCTATAGAAAAAGTTCACCTAATCAATTCTATAGAAAATGTTAATCAACAAAATATTTTCAGTTCAGCAATGAACATTTTTCTATAGGGAAAAGTTCAACAATGAACATTTTTCTATAGGGAAAAGTTCAACAATGAACAATTTTCTATAGAAAAAAATGACTAATAAACTCAGAAATAGTTCACTAATGAACATTTTTCTGCAGAATGGTTCAAAATTTGATTGTTAAAAAAAGTTTTTTTCTATATAGAAAAAAGCTCGCCAAAAGACATTTTTTGTATAGAAAAGTTCACCAATGTTTCTAAAGAAAATGTTCACGGATTGTTACTATTCTATAGAATATTTTATTTTCCCCCTTTTCAAATACCAATATTTTTACTACAAATTTCCTGGTTGTTATCCATCATTTATTATTTCTGTGGTTACTTTGGCCTCGATATGATGCATATATAGCCCACAAACAAATAAAAAATTATTGAATTTATATTCATTAAAATATATTGACGGAAAAATAGTAGTACTAATTGTAAAAGTATAATAAAATTTACTCACACACATACAAATATACACAATACTTAAAACTCAATCAATTAAATTACATTAAAATATTCAACTTATGGTTAGGTTAGGACAAATACATAGCGTTATTAATTTGGGACTACAATTTTAAAAAAAGAACAATAAAATTAAAACTAAAAACCTACTGTTAATTTGTTAAAGTAAATTTTCTAAAAACAAATTCTAAATAAAATTAGTTTTGGTGTGGTTATAAAAATCAGATCAGTTAATTTCACATACACAACGAACATATCCAGTTGTGAAAGATTGGTTACAGGGGGAGGAAAAAATTATACTGCATTGAAAAAGAAAGAAAGATAAAGCACAGCAAAATAGAAAATTTTGGCTGCCTGCAGCTACTTTATGTTGATTAGTATATTACATTGAATTATGTTTGGGAAGAAAAATTAAAAATAATAAAAATGTGTGTGTTTTTTCGTATTTTATGTATTCTTTATAATAATGAAAATTTTGTATTAATAAATTAACAAAAATAGAAAAAATAAATCTAAAAAATATGTATATAAATAATAAATATTGACCACAAAACGAAAAGTAATAAACAAGTTTTAAACATTGCATTTTTTGTTAAAGCCAAACAGTTTTTGAGTGGATGAAATTGGGGGGATGGTGAGAGACAGTTTACAAAGTTAATAACTACAATAACATTAAACTAATAAATTAAGGAAAAAATATTATAATTATTTTAAAAAAAGTATATATAACACAAAATATGATAATACAAAGAAAAATAAATTTAAGTGATAGCATTGTTTTCTCATTTTTCTTTGTTTGTTTGTTTTTGGAGGCATTTTGTTTGCTCATCTTCTGTGCTGTGTGTAGTTAGTGTGGATGACTGATGTTGTTTTTGTTTTTTTTTTCTCTCTTCTTATATATTAACAATCATATTTTGTAGCTGGGTTAGTGTGCTGCCAAAATGATTTGTTTCGGGCAGGTTGCGTATTTGCAATAGCCATCGCTGACATTCCAAACATTTGCGATGACGTTCCTCTCGACTGACATCAACACCCAGACCATTTACCCATGGGTCTAGGTTATCCTGAATAATTGGCAAGAAATTTGATAGTATAACACGTAGTGTATCACAAGCTCGTGTATAGTGACTGGAATAAAAATAACGAAAGAAGAACAAAATGCGTTAGTTTATAAAGAGAAATATTAAAAATAAAAATAAAAACTACAAACATAATTTAATGTTTGTAGGACATCATAAATATAAAAATCTATCTATAAACAAGTAAAAAAAATTCGTAAAATTCGTCCTTCACACATCTATGCCTCCCACAAAGTGATGTGCATTTTGCCATTTTTATAGAGGTGGGATCCTTTTTATGAAGACTCTTACCAGATGCATTCTCAGATGGCGGATAGGAGGAATGTGGATTACAACAAGTTAAACATGGAGATAGTATGATCGCCTTTAGGACTTTATACCCTCGGACCAAAATTGACTACGGGGGCGTTCTTCTACAACCATAAAAAAACAATTGAAAACCAATAAAGAAAGTAGTAAAGTCGGACTGCGCCGACTATACGATACCTTTCACCACCTTGGGTATATTCTACATATTCTAACAGACATCGCCTTTTCGACATCACAGGCCATTTTGCAACCTATGCTAAATTTTGTAAGTCGATTTAAAGCAAGCTTGACAGACGCTATTCGGTATGCTGCACTCTTTAAAATTTAATCTCAATTAGACACCCAGGGATTATTTAGTGTATAATTAATATGAATTAAATTGGACGAAAATATATATCGGCGTTATATCCAAATCTGAACCGATTTTCACGAAACATAGCAGACATCATTCTAGACTTAAGGGGCCCCCCCCCCCCAATTTTTTTTTTTTTTTTTTTTTTTTTTTTGATTTAATTTGAATCTACACTAATTTCAAGTGAAGAAGAAAGAACTCTTGAAGAAATAGCCGATTTATTGTGTCAGCATCAAGTGACGGTCGAAGGGCATCTCAAACTTTAAACACATTTTTTCTCTAAACATTGGTTTTGCGAACGGCGGGCACGATAACTCAAAGACTAATTACCCAATCGATTCCAAATTTTTCAAGTTTCTCTGTGAGTGTATAGCTATCGTATGAACTAGGATAAAGCTAATCGGTGAAGATTTTCCTTATTTTTTAACTTGGTTTTTGGTCAAAAATCGGCGATTTTCCAAAAATATTTTTTCAAAGGTCCACCATTTTGTTAATTTTAGAGCGAAGTCATACGAGGAGAGCCAGACATGTACTCTTTCTAACACTGTTGGAATTTTCGGATTCCGATGTTCCAGTGAGGAGTTATCATGCCCGCCATCAAAAATAAGGACTTTTCTTTAATTACAAAAAAACAACAACAAAACAATAACAAAAATTGTTTGTAAATTATTTTTCTTCTCTTTTAAATCTTCAAATATATATATGCAAAGTTACAAACCTTAACAAGCATTGGTATTGATTTACCAGCCCTTTAAAATTCGTGAAAAATTCAAATCGAGAATGGGAGTACGCTTTGCCAAAATTCTTGCAAATCGAATGATTTTCAGGGACTTTGGTGCGCTATTTACATTAAATCGGGTGAAACTATATATGGGAGCAATATCTAAATCTGAACCGATTTAAACCGAACTTTGCACACGTCATTCTAGACTTCATTCAGTACGCTATGCCAAAATTCGTGAAAATCGAATGATTTTCAGGGACTTTGGTGCACCATTTACCTAAAATCGGGCGAAACTATATATAAGAGCTATATCTAAATCTGTCATTCGTCGACGTCATTCTAGACTTAATGCAGAACGCAATGCCAAAATCCGTGCAAATCGAATGATTTTCAGGGACTTTTTGTGCACCATTTACCTAAAATATATATGAGAACCGATCTTCTGTAATTTCAATAGGGTTCGTCCTTGGGCCAAATAAGTGACTTGTGCCAAATTTCATCAAAATCGGATTATAAATGCGACCTGTACTTTGTTTACAATTTAACATCAACAGACGGACGGACATGCATAAATCGACTCAAAAAGTGATTCTATGCATATTCTCAAAAGGAACCATGGATCTAGCTTGATTCCTTTTGCCTTTTACGAACATATTCACAAAGTCATAATACCCTGTACCACAGTGTGGTGAAAGGAATAAAAAGTCAGAAGGAAAATAAATAATGAAGAGGCAGAAAAGATGATGGAAGAAGTGAGTAACGACATTATCAAGCTCTCGACAAGAAAGGAGAAGGTATCTGGGTGCGCAAAGGCGGAGCCAGATAAATAAGAACGCAGAGAATACAGAAACCCTAAGGATAAATATGGCCTTCCCCACACTTCATTTGAAGCCTCGAAGAAGACAAGGTCTCCGAAAAAGCAATTGAGGACATTGCACAAAAAAAGCAATAATCTGGGTCGTAAAGGCGGAATCTGGTTCAATATCAATCAGATAAATAAGAACCTAAGCTTTTAGGATAACCCCGACCTTCTCCCCACTATCATGGAAGAGGCGAGAGCAGATTCCCGTCGTCGGATAAATGTCCAATCCAAAGGATATTAACTCGAGAATCCATTGACTAAGGCGGGTCTAAAAGACAGCCCATGAGAGCACCCCCGGACTTCACGAGGAAGATAGCAGAAATCAGGAGTTGACATTTTTTGCCAGAAAGTTCTACGCAAAAATCGACAAAAACAATGCAACTATGCAAAGAGATCCGTAAAGACATTTTCGATAGGTCAAAGACAAGATATTCATTTAGTTCCTGCAATGAGCGTATCCTAACGATATGTCCAGTTGAAAAAAGTGGGCGGGACCTTTATATGTCAAAATATAAACCTAGAAAGACGTATGACATCCTCCGGAATGACAAATTAAAGCCACCTCGGTTTGAAAAATGGGAATTAAATCTTCAAAATACCTCAAGAACCCGGAATGCCAATTTACAGTCACTTCGATTGGAAAATGAGGCTTTGGAGTATTATTATATATTATATAAAATATTTCTTCTCTCTATATATATATATATTTTTTCATTAAGCCCCTGGTCAAATTTTCAATCTAACCTAATTTTTTTTTAATACTTACAATTTATGTTGACTTTGCAGGAGTTCATAGATTTCAGGTAATAATAAAATACACAAATCTAAATTCCATGATGATCTGAAAGGAAAAAAGTAGTCAAGAAATAAATAATTATCACAGAAGAAAAGTATTAATTAATTCAATTATTTTTATTAAAAACACACTATACTTACGTTTTTTCCAATATGGCTCCCAAAAGATCAACGAAAATAGTTCGGCCCATTTTAATGGCCTGTCTTAGGGCGGAAAGGACATCGTGAGATCTGTTAATAGAAAATTATTTCAATTTTAGTATATCAATCCCTCTCTCGCTCTCTCTCTCTCTGTGTCTCCATTACTCATCTTACCTTGTTGAATTTCTTATAATCTGCAGTGTGGCATTACGATTGCTTAACTCCTGATAAACTTGTTCATGTGTTGCTGAGAGCATTTCAATTTCTGGTACATCGTCCATGCGATTATTAAAGCTTTTTTGACTACCGAACCCCGAATGGGTCATCAGTGATGGATCGGGCCGATAACTAATGGGTATCTGCAAAATCATAATTCCAAAACATGTGTGAAAAACAATGTAATTTAAATAAAACAGTAAAGCCATAAACCAATTAATCACCCAAATTGAATAGCAAAAAAACTACAACAAATAATAACAACAACAACATGCACTACAAAAACACAACTGGCTATTCAAAAAGGGGATTATCAGCTAGAGGGATACAAAAGACAGCAAACAGTTTGTTAATGTTAATTTATGGGGAATATACAAAAAAATGGGTACACACATTTGCCGAGCCATTACTAGTACTATCCATGGTGTAACTAGAAATGCGCTGTAAGATATGTAAAGAAAAAAAGAGAAAAGCAAAAAATAGAATATTTAGCAAATACACACACAAATACCATACCATAAACCCAAATTATTGAGTGGAATTCAACTAACATAAAAATGTAAAAATAAATCATCATTCGTAGCTTAAATATATATATAGTATACTACACATAAAAAATAATAGAATGGTAGAAGAAAAATTGCAAAAATTTTGATTTTCGTAAATAGTTTGCAGATTTTTTCCATACAAGTGGAATGTAATGAAGAAAATTTGAAACTAAATCGATTTGGGCAACATTTTTGTAGATGTGAACAAGTTCGTATTTTTCAGCTTGGCCTGTTGTAGCCTGTCTTGGATGATAGATAGGGCTGGCATCTATCATTCCCTAGAAACGATGCCTTACTGAACTGTGGGCAGTGGTTTGGGTGCTTACTTATTTAGTGTTCCAGGGAGACTTCGGATGCATTTTATTTGGACGAAGATGTAAGCCTTGTTTTACAAATTGAAAAGAATTGTGTCTCCCTCCGCTGGGGTACGAACCGGGCCCATTCCGAGCTTTATATATACATATTATTATTATTTTTTTTTTCTTTGTTAACTTTGTAATGACACAATCCACATACACGAGCGCTCTTGGCAGTCTTCTAAATTAGTCTTCCGCGTTGTCTTTGGCGCATTTAAAAACAGTCCCCCGTTATTCGAAAGGGTATCAGCTTGCTACCCATGTTAAGTTTCATGTTCTGCTTTTTTATCAACCTCTTAATCTGTTTCAGTTCAAAAAGGAGTTCGTAAGCATACAAAGGCTATTCCGCACGGCATATCATCAATAGGTGCGACTACTCGGTCCCATATCTCGGAGGGGAGATATGTCAAAATGGGAGGGACCTTTATACATAGACCTAAATCGCACATTACACTCACTTCGCTTAGAAACTGCATCTAAAATCTTCAAAATACCGAAAATGAGGCGGGACCTCATTAATAGATACGGCTAATAGGTCCCAGATGCCTTAATAAGTAATTTGTCAGACTCATTATTCTTCTTGTAAACCTAACAATTCGTAGTTGTTGATGGTGTTGTTGATCTCAAAGATGATTTTTAGATGACTATCGAGTAGCAACCAATAACTTTCAATCATGCGCCCGTCAGGACCACTCTTGACAACGATGGACAATCGTTGTTCATCTAGGACAAGCAGCCGAGTAGTTGCTCCAACGAGCTTAAAATTAACTTCGAAGATTTCTGAGAAGACCCATTTAATCCGACTTTCTCTCTGCCGATTTAAATTAGACAGAATTTTGTACTATCTACAGTAACGGTTTCATCTTTGCTGCAGATTGCTGTACCTTCGTCGATCTTATCTTCATTGAAGTCGCTATGTTATGGGCGAGAACGCATGTTTGCTGCAGTATGCGAGGTGAGAGGTGTATAGTACGAATTATCTAATGACCACTTCCATAATTCCTTACGACCTTTAGGTGCTTCCCAATCCAAAGAAATTCGTTCTCACTTACTGAATTTGAATTTTTGTCGACTAATCTTTGACCTATTCAATATGCCTTCCTAGTGAGATTAGGTTTTCCGAATCCGAAGGAATCCATTTAAGATTAATAAATTTGGGAAATTGTCGACATATCTTTGATTTTGGAAAACCCAAGCTTGGATCAAATACCTGACGGCATCTGCTGACTAGAAGATGACGCTTTAATTACAATGTCTTTTTTTGTCTGTCATAATACTATCGTTCCATATCTCAGATGGAATACTTTCGTTTTAAACTGAGGGTCAGAAAGTAGCCACCACAACAACATCAGTTAATGGTAACCTCAACAAGTTTTGCGCTTAATTACTAATTCCTTGCAATGGTAAGGTGTCGATGTTATAATCAGCATCAGTTTCTCAACATTCAACATGCCGCAAGGAACATTCATCACGTCATTAGAAACAAATCTATAATCGATGAGAAGTTCGTGATGTTGCCTTGCCAATTTAAGGGCTATGGGTTTCATTTTTCTGTTATTCCTCTTGAAGGAATAGGTTTCCATAAATCATCACCATATTATTCCATCTTTTATTCCAGCTATGTAGATGATTGGTCTGCTTTAGACTGTCCTATGTGATGAGGCTGCCATCTATCATTGCCTAGAAACAACACATCATTGACATTTTTACAATGATTGGTGTCCTCGCTAATTTAGTGTCACCATTTGCATCTGGATACCGCCATCTCCTGCCTTTCTAATTTTGTATTATAGTAATAATAGAGTAAAATACTTATTGACGATTAAATGGATATACCTATACCGTGATATCACAAACAACAAATGATAATGAATAATATACAAATGAAGAAAACAAAACTTTATAAACCGCCAAAGAATTCTTCAATTCCAAACTTGTCATTACATTCCACTTCTATTCTATAGATTTGATATATATATATATATATATATATATATCACTCCTTTCCCAATACCCAAATTAAAAAAACAGACAGCAACAAAAAATTAAACTCATTTAACTCACTTGTGTTTGACGTTGTGCTGGACCACCTCCTCCTCCACCACCCGCTTTCTGTGGTGATCTCAATTCCAACGATGTTCGTGAACGTGTCGGTGGCTTTGTTATTATTTGCACTGTGATATTTTTATTGCGTGCATTCTCTTTATTCACATGTGCCTTGCTCTTATTTACAACAATGTGTGACGATGCCGATTTCTTGATCAGCATATTATCATCCATTTTGTGCAGTTCTGTTGTGCTAACCGAGGACACTTGCGACAATTTGTTGCGCTGTTGAAATGTCGACGATGCACTGGTTTTAATACCCCCACCACTCGACACTTGTGCTGTACGTTTTGTAATGTGTGATGTTGTTTTGGTTGTTGTTGTAGTTGGTTTGGCCGTTTTGGCTGGTGGGTGGACAAAATGTGTTGAATTTGTTGTGGAACTCACCGAATTGCTGGCTCCATTTGTTGCACCATTCAACGTGGCCGATGATGAGGACGATGACGACGATGAATTATTTGTGGTTGCTGCTGCTACAGATGGCGGTATAGTTGAGCCTTGATTTATGGGAAAATCTTCAACCATTTCGGTATTATCGTAATTGTTGATAACAGGCGGGAAACTTTCATTGAAATTTATTTCACTATCCTGATTGAAAGGATCTGTGAAATTATCATATTTACTATAGTAATCACCCCGCTCTCCGGGCATTTTCAGCGACGACGGACCACCATCATAATTTAAAACACCCAAACTACTGTAGGCAGTACTTGAGGCAATGGACGGGTAATGATATGGTGATGATGTTAACTTTTTCATTGGTACATTTATGCTAACACTACTGCTGCCGCCAACACCACCCCCACCAACACCCATTGTTGAGGTGAAACTATTTTCAAAATCTGTAAAATTACTATTCACCGAGAAATTGGCATGACCATTGTTTAGCGGATGGGTATTTGGATTTGGTAGCATGGGCGGAAGCATGGCGCTATCGAGGGGATTTTCATCGACCAACTCTAGGCTGAGGTTCGGTGAAGAGTGACCATCTAAACTGGGACTACGATTGTCTTCATTCTCTTCGACCAGACGTGACTGTTTGGGTCCACCAATCGAAAGACGTAACTTTTGATTGCCACGTGAAAAACTTTTACGTGTTGTGGAATTATGACTAAAGGCAGGTGCTGTATTATTGGATGGATTATAAAACGGGAATACACGATTGACACTAAGGGCATCAATGCTGACATATTCCTGTTCAAAGGAGCCACAAATCTGAAAATAAAAAAAAAACAAAAATGAAATCAATAGAATAAAGAAATCAAATGTTGAAACTTACCAATCTTCTATTAACAATTTTCATATCACCCAATGCCGTCCAGGCGGATTGTATGTGATCAAATTCACGATCTGGTTCCCAGCCAATAATCGATATAGCTGCCGCGGTGCCAACAAACAAGCATTCGCCATTATCACTGAAATGAGAGACCAACAAATATTTAGTTAACTATTTTCAATAGCCAATTACACCACCCACCTAAATGTTATACACTTAATGGGATGACCATAAAACAAACTGGTAGCATCTGTCCGGGTAACACACAGCTGTGTCTCCAAATCATAAATACTAACGGTACCATCGACACGACCCACAGCCAGCAAAAATTCAAATGGATGAAATTGTATACATGTGATTGCAGCACCAGCTGGTTTATCACAAAATTCCATAATTTGTTTACTTTTCCTGATGTCCCATATAATGACGGAACCCTCCGTACCGGCAGATGCTATCCATAGGCCATCTGGTGAAAATTTCACTGAGTTAACATGTGAAATATGACCACGATAGATTTTCATGCAACTATTTTGATTGCGAACATCCCATAATCTGAAATGAAAGAAATGAGATAAGAAATTGAGGTTAGGTTATATTGAAAGAAATTGAATTTGATGAATAAAAAAATGCATATTTCGCAAAGCATAATGGTATATACTATGAGAGGACGAAATTGAAATATTCTAAATAACAAAAATCTGACCAAATAGTGGCATATACAAAACAAGGTTCAATTTTGAAAATGTTTCACAATTAAACAGTAATTTGGCAGTTCTATTCTACAGTTCTAATTAAAAACAAAAACAGCATATGTTTACCATGTCCCTCGATATCTCGTGGACCGCGACGGCAGTCAGCTTAATACCTTCGCCAAGGGGTCTATGTTATAAATTGTTTCTTTGCGGAAGTCCGAGGACTCCTTAGTTCTGCAGTTAATAAACTTGACCCCTTTGTACATGATGACCTGGCCAAACCGAAGATTCCGGCTATAAACCCTCGCAGGTCTTCAGGAGCCCCTGGTTGAGCAACAGTGTCGCTAGGCCTCGGTGGCGCTTTCTGGAATTCTTACTTCAAGACGGCGGGTTTGGCTTTCGCCTCTGCATTACCGCTCCTGGCAGGATCCTCCAACAATTTGCCCTCTCCCACTGTCCGTTAATTCGAATAGTTCCTAGAGAACTTCCGAATGCATTTGAGGTTTCTCTTAGTCAGAAGGAATACCTTACACGTTATCGAGTCTCTGTTGTAGAAATTAACCGCTCTCCTGTAGATCTCTTTGTCAGAGATTTCTTTGGCATTGATTCGTTTGGAGGTTTCTTGTCAAGTTAACAGCACCAATATCCACAACACGGTGATTTGCCTCGGAATTCTAGTAGTTTCATTGTCTGCCATGGAGGTGGGATTTCCATCCTCGCCAAGGGTTGCGTTCTTTCTCATCATCTCTTATGACTCACCTTGATTTAGAGGAGTCAGTTCGATAGTCGCCGTCCAGTGGTGTCCATAGAGTGAAATTCAGTTAAACAAGAATCCAAGATTAGGAATTGCATCGACAGATTATGGGGACCATTTCTACCTTGGTGAATACAACAACAGTCATTGTTGAGAAGCTTCTCCATTCTCGGAATCACTCCTTTTTTGTATTCTGTAGAAAATGTTCAATAAATGCACATATTTTGACATAACCCCCATATAAAGGTTCCGTCCTTTTGTTGTTCAATCATCGTTATCAGAAAATATTCAACATAGATTCCTGTTATGACACCATATAAAAGGTCCGGTCCTCTTTCCGGCATATTGAATGTCTTAGTAATAGCATATTCGATATTCTATTCGAGCAAGGAAAAGCTCAATTTTGTACATTCCTCTTGGGTCATATTCAAATATAAATATTTTTAAATTTCCAACTCATATAATTTGGTTCGGTCAAACTTTACTGTAGGTAGGGAAGAGTTAAAGATGACTGTAGGAATTATTACAGGTCATTTCCATTGTGGTCCCCAGCTATTAACCTAACATATTTATTCGGACTGTATCTTAAACTATAATAGTACTGTATGAATTTGTTTACTGTATTTGACTTGCAGTACTGTATCTGCTAAAATTGAAATTTAATAAAAATTATCGAAAAATAGCCGACGTTTCAGCGCAGACTCTAGACAACTGCATTTATCCAATACACGAACCAATTGAGCGATAACAACACATTGGTAAGCAACGATAACACATGATTAATCGTGGTCATATGTAATTGAACTTTAAAAATAATTATTTTTCTGAATATAATAATAACAACAATACAAATAAATGTTCCAATTTGTTTGCATTGCCTTTTATACAAAAACTTGTATTAATTTAATAAAATTCATTTATATATCTCTTTGTTACAACAGCTGTTATTCATTCCTTTTGACTACACAATTTTGTATATCAATTCAGTTTGAATGCCACTTTTTCTCTTTTGCTTACAAAAAAAGAAGCATTTGAGAAGACTCATCTGTTTTCGTTTATTTTTTGTTCCATGTTTTTCTATTCGTTTTCGTGTTTCTGTCATCGTACTTTGAGTTGCACCTAGTCGGGCGGCAGCAGAGTTCATGTTTTTCTACTTGTTGTTGGCTGTTATCTCTTCGTAGTAGACGTTGTCGTTTTCCAGTTGGTCAAAGTTATTGCAAAATCAACAGCAATTAAACAAATATACATATTTATTATTAAAAAAAAGTAATAATTAAAGAAAGCCGAATTATTATCGCTAAAAAGTGTGATCTAAAGATAGAATAAAAGCCGATTTTGATTAAATTTTCAGATTTCTATTCCAAACAACAAACTTGGTAAGCTCTGACGACCAAAGTCAAAAACGCTGGCCATATGAGGTGCTACGTTTTTGTTAACGAAATAAAAAGCTATTCCATTTGCAGAAAATGGGTGTGTAAAATTTGCATATAGATTTTATATTATTAAAGAAATGTATTTATAAAAAATTCATTTTTCTTTTGGTATGTAACAACTGATAGTGAAACTATCTCTAGCCGCTTTGGGAACAAAAGATTGACTAGTACATTTTATTTTCACTCGCAGAGCAAAGTTCAGTTTGTAATGTTTATTGCCCCTCAAACGTACACACACACACACCAACATTCAAGCGTATTTTAACGATTTGTTGAGTTCAGAGTGTAGGAAATGTGTATGGACTACAGAGTAATGAAATATTTAAATATTTTGAGTAGAAAAAGGGCAAAACATGTTCTGGTGAATTAATTCCCAAAAATAGATATTAGATAAAACTACTTGATCAATTAAATAGTGTCCATAATATAGGTACGCTCTAACGAAGTCGAATAATTTAACGGTTCAAGAGGTTCAAAAGAGGCTCTCAAAATAACGCCAAATTTGAAGTTCTTAAGCGATGTTAAAGTAATAGGTAACAAATCCAAAAAAGGTACTGGACAGCACGGTATATCGTACGGAGGAAAATCTGATATTGGCAAAGATATACCAACCAAGAGCAAAAGAATTACGTTTGATAAGGAAACACCTAAAATAATTGAGGAAGAACGTACGTGACTACCCCCTTGAGAAGGTGGTGATCGTAATCGCAGTCTTGCCAAAATCTTTGAAAAAAATGGAATTTGGTACATGATGTCCACATGAAGGAAAGTTTCAAGAATACCCAAGCTGTGTGGCCCTACATGAAGAAAAACAACTATGGTTGCAATATTATGACCTGCTCCAACTCTGGCATGTATGGTAACTTTGGTCAGGCCAATTACTCGGCTCTCAAAATGGCTTTCCTTAGTTTGGCCAATATCGTCGCCATTGAAGATGCCAAGAATAACACCCCTGCTGCAAAGAAGTCATCGTTAATGCAAATAGTTCAATCTTATGCACCGTATGCATCGGCAGTGATTAGAAAGTCTTAGGCTAGGTAGACGAAAGTCGTTTAAAGTGACTAGTTTTGGCAGGAACCATCAAAGCGAAAACCAAAACATAATGTGGAGAATTCAAAAATGTCACCAAAGAGTAGCTATCATTGATAAGACTAATTCCTACAGAATATTATCAGCGGGAGTCCTTGATTGCTATGGAGATCAAAGTCAAGAATTGCTGATATAAGGGAATCTTCTGACTACCTGTTGTTCCCGTGCGGGATGGTGACCTATTTATTGAATTGGAATATATGGAGTAGACGGTCGAGAATCCGAACTACGGTTTTCAAAGGCTCAAAGCTTTTTCAGAAGAACGGATAAGGTTCCATTCTTTTTTTCAGTCTTAAGATTTATAAGACTTAAGCAAATTATATTGGATGGTTATTGGACGTTAAGCTGACAATTATCGTATACTACTATTTTACTCTAATTTAACAATCAATTGAGCCCAACTTAAGAAGATGTGTGAAAGGAAGGAAAAATAATGCTTTGGTGACATAGAGGATCATTTAAAGGCAAATTAAAATAATGTTCTGTCTCCCGCTTAAAACAAAACTTTACGACAAACCGATGTTTTCCATAAAATATGTAGCTTTATTTTCGTATAAAATAGGATTTGATTTCTTAAATGTCTCGTTATACACAGGAGAGATTGTGAAACGCTCCACATACAGTTTTCAATCGTAAAAATAATTACTAATCCCTGATCTGGTTCCCAATTCATATATTCTTAATTATCGTGCAGCGGTCTTCTGAGGCCCCTCTCCAAAATGTCGAAGAAATTATGGTTGAACAAATCAAAGAGAAAACAATTTATAAATGTTGGCTAACATTTGAGAAATTTTACGAGCAACATTGTTTTTATCGTATACTTTAAATTCAAAGAAATAAAATTATATCCTAGATTCGTAAAATATTTATAAAATGCTCATTTTATATGCAGGCCTATTATTGCTGGGGGCTTTGCGTATGTATACACTTGAAGAGTTACTTTATCAATTGATAAGCTAAATTTAAAATGGTTAATCTATTTTAATTATGTTGTTATTGCAAAGTTATTATTTGTTTAAAAAAAAAATATCATAGAACCCGAAAGAATAAATTATGTGTACTTTAACCTAACCACATATTTGGGAGAATTGAAAAAATTTTAATACAATTCACACACTACTGGTGTTATAGTATCGCTTTTTAGTAACACACTTTCTACCAAAAGAAATACGTTTTTCAGATCCAAATATTGAAATGAATATTTCCATAAAATTTTAGTAGGATGACAAAGTTTCTTTCAATGACTAACATGGCAATTTTACTGAAAAATCCATTTTAGATATATAAAACAAAAATTTCAACACTATTCCAGATATAATAATAATACTCTCTCTTTCTTTGAGAGATTTGTACCCACAATTTTTTAAACAAAATCCTTATCTTTAAACAAAAAGAACTCTACAATCTTTCCATTGTTTATCTAGATGAGATAATTTATACATTTCTCTACAATTTCTTATTAATAAACAAAATGGTCAAGTCATTGCGCTCTAAGAAATTCTCTCTCCACTACAACCACTACACAAACACTTTGTTATCAAAAAGTGCAACTTCTATCCAGACGAAGATAAACACAATCACCTTATAACAACAAAGTTGAACTTTGATAGTATATTGAAATGGAATATTATTAACATTCACTTTTGTTTTAAAATTTCATTTCAGTTTTGCTTTGACTGTCGCTGAGCAAAGAGGGAAACTAAAATCCAGTAGAAATTAAAATGGCCGAACTACGTTTTGATGGACGCGTTGCTATTGTTACTGGTGCCGGTGCCGGTTTGGGTCGTGAATATGCCATGCTTTTGGCTTCTCGTGGTGCCAAAGTTGTAGTCAACGATTTGGGTGGCGCTCACAATGGTGAGGGTGCTTCCACTCGTGCCGCCGATGTTGTGGTCAATGAAATCAAAGCCAAGGGTGGTGAAGCTGTGGCCGACTATAACTCTGTTGTGGATGGTGACAAAGTTGTCGAGACTGCCATCAAGGCCTACGGTCGTGTTGACATCATCATCAACAATGCTGGTATTTTGCGTGATCGCAGTTTTGCCAAAATCTCTGAACAGGATTGGAATTTGGTAAATGATGTCCACTTGAAGGGTAGTTTCAAGGTTACCCAAGCTGCCTGGCCCTACATGAAGAAAAACAACTATGGTCGCATTGTTATGACCTCCTCCAACTCTGGCATGTACGGTAACTTTGGCCAGGCCAATTACTCGGCTGCCAAAATGGGTTTGGTTGGTTTGGCCAATACCGTCGCCATTGAAGGTGCCAAGAACAACATTCACTGCAATGTGATTATTCCCACTGCTGCCAGTCGTATGACTGAGGGTATTTTGCCCGATATGCTGTTCAATGAATTGAAACCCAATTTGATTGCTCCCGTTGTTGTCTATATGTGTCATGAATCGTGTGAAGATAATGGTAAGCAAGTTGTCTCAATGATAGGTTTAAAACACCTGTCTAATCGTATTTTGTTTTAATCATAGGTGCCTACATTGAAAGTGCTGCCGGTTGGGCCACCAAAGTTCACACTGTCCGCGGCAAGGGTACCGTACTCCGCACATCCATTGAACAAACCACCATTAGCCTTGAAGCCGTACAAAAAGCCTGGGGCAAGGTGACTGATATGAGCCAAGCCAAACACTGCAATACCATTGGTGAAGCTTCTGGTAATCTGTTGGAAGTTTTGGAAAAACTCAAAGAAGGTGGTGTAAGCGACTTCGAAGATACCTTCCAATTCGGTTCGAAGGATTTAATTGTCTATGCTTTGGGTGTGGGTGCCACCACCAAGAACAGCAACGACATGAGATTCTTGTACGAAAATGATCCCGATTTCAGTGCCCTTCCCACATTCTTTGTTCTGCCCGGTCTTTTGTTGAGCATGACCAGCAGTTTGGTATCTACTGCCTTGCCTGAAGGTAAAGCCGATCTTACCAACATTTTGCACGGTGAACAATATTTGGAAATCTGTGATGACATCCCAACCAATGGCAAATTGACCACAACCGGCAAAGTTTTCGATGTTATGGACAAGGGTTCCGGTGCTGTGGTTGTAACCAACTGTGATAGCTACGATGAAAATGGTCGCCTTTTGGTTAAGAACCAAAGTTCCATTTTTGTTGTTGGAGCTGGTAAATTTGGTGGCAAAAAGAATCCCATCCAAGGTGTTGTACCAATTGTTGCCAACCCCAATCGTGCTCCTGATGCCTCCCTCCAATATAAGACCAACGAAGACCAGGCTGCTCTCTACCGTATGTCTGGTGATTTGAACCCCTTGCACATTGATCCCAACTTTGCTGTGGTCTCCGGTTTCAAGGTTCCCATTTTGCATGGTCTCTGCACTTTGGGTTTCTCTGTACGCGCTGTCTTGGCCAAGTATGCCGACAACAATTCTGCACTGTTCAAGGCTGTTAAGGCCCGTTTTGCTGGCCCTGTTGTACCTGGTCAAACATTGAAGGTTGATATGTGGAAGGAAGGCAAACGTATTCATTTCCGTACCATTGTTGTTGAGACTGGCAAGGATGCCATTACCGGTGCCTATGTTGATCTTAAAGATACATCCGCCAAATTGTAAGCGGAAAGCGAAACGAAATTTCGAAGGAAAATAATTTGTAAAATTTAAGGAAATCATTATTTTTGTATGTGTATTGTTATGGTTAAATGTTTTTATAGTTGACCTGTGGTATAAGAATTCCATTATTGTAATTTTCTTTTATTCTCTTTTTTTACATCCAAAAAAATATAAATGTATATAAATCTAGTGTATTTCGAATTGTTGTTATTTTAAAAGGTTTATTTTCAGTATCATCAATATAGTATGATTTCTCTTTTCTATTGAGCATTGCCATTGATAAGATTACCTTATGTTAGGTGGTCTCGTTTATTTAATCAAATCAAATGGTGGGTACAAAGGTATGTTTTTTGAATGTACATGTGTATATTGTAATCAATTGGATTATAAATAAGCCGCTACTTTATTTTATTTTTTATACGATTAAATGGTCAAACAAAACAGCAGCAGTGAATGTATGGAAATAGGCTAATCTACAATCCAAGAACAATGGAACAGATATACGGATTTTCCAGAAAACATTATAATTGAATCTAGGAACATAAAATGGGGATGATATAAAATACATGGAAATAACATCAAACCCACTCTGCATTCATACATAGAAATTCATGGTAAGAGCTATGGAAATTTTATATATCCAAAGCGAGGAAATTCTTTGATTTTAGGTCATACGTTATTTGCAGTGTATTGATCTTTGAGCTTTACGTTACTGGGATAATCTTTGGTGAAATCTTTATCAGGTTCCAAGACATAATAGGAATGAAATAGGGTGCCCAGGATCCAGTGTAAATGCTGTGCATTCCTTTTCGTTTATTCTGAGTGGTCAGAAGTAATTGCAATTGTCTGAATAATCACTTATAACAAAGGTCAAGGGACCGGCAATATTGGAACTTTTGGATATATCCAGCATTTGTCGTTAGAAGCTGGGACTTTCTAAACGTTTTCGACTTTATTTCAAAGATCTTTTCAAAATTTTTAAGTTCGAAATTTCATGCTAACACCATTTACAAATTTGAATGAACAATCTTTACTATACAACTTTCAAATAAGGTATAAATTCCTTTAAAATTAAGTTTTTTCAGACATATACATTCAAAGTTTTATCAGCCTAAAAGTATGCAACGACAAAAACACAACAGTCCACACAACAAGATTAAAAACCTCCCATTATAATAAGTGTTACTAATTACAATCCAGGCAGCATTTAATAAGCCAAAATGCATAATCGGAACAAATTTGAAAACAAGGAAAACGAAACAACCTCCTATCATTAAAAAACACTTTTAAATCTCTACAAAAAAATGTGAAAGGGAAAACTATGGCACAAAAGACTGACCAACCAGCCGACCTGTTGATGCATTTATTTGTTGGTGTTGTCAAAATGGGGCTTTGAAAAGCAAAGAAAACCCCAATGACCAGGCTATTATCCATTATGACCTGTCTCATTTGACAGACAGCTAGGCTGTTGGTTAGGTGGCTTGTTAGCCAAATGTATGTATGTGAGACCATCAAGCCACACAATTATGTGAGTTGTAAGCGTCGTAAAGGGAATTTTTTAACAAGCTGTAATGAGAAAGCATTATTTTTATTATAGTGCCTCAACACACAAAGCTAAGGGATAGATATACTATATAAAATCGCCACACAAAAACAAAATGGAAATATGAAACCAAATAGCCAGAAAGAAAATGTTATGATAGCACACCACCTTACAATCATCCAAGTGATTTGATAATTGGCTGTTTGAATACAAAAAAATGTAGGGTTTAACGAAACAATTAGTTTTCAGGGGGAAATTCGGATTTTGAGAAATTTATTAAAATAAAGATTTATTGGACACTTACAAAAAAAAGAAATTAATCTGGAGTATGTATAAAGAAAATGGGGTGTAATTTTGAAAGAAACTATCTTATTGGAAGAATGCTCTTATAAGAAAGGCTTCATGAAGTGTACATCTAAGGAAGAAAATCCTATTGATAGTCTATGAGCGAAAATTGGCATGCGTGAAAATATTAAAATGGAATTACGTTCATTTAAACAGATTGAATAAACGAATTATTAATTTGAAGATAATCATTAAAAATGTGGTATTTACAACTCATAAATATGATTTTTTCCCAAAATTGTGAATTCCTATGCTAGTGCCAGAGGATATTTTAATGGTTATAGATATGATATGTTGTCTGTCCAGAATTTTGCGCCGTTTATAAACCTGAGAGTTATTGCCGATAATATAAAAGAAGTCGTTAAAAATTACATGTGGAATTCTAATTAAAAAATAAATTTGACTTTTACTAACATAGCAGCATGATGGTGATAAAAGTGGAAAATAAAAGTCCCGCATTCAGTCAAATAGGCTGTAATTTGATATTTTGGGTTAATAGCAAAGTAGCAAATCTTCCTACCAAAAGTGATACATTACGGTAGCACACCAATTTCCATGTTTGCGGAATTTTGAGGGCGTTTTTCAATCGAATTGCCTACTTTCTATCGAAATTGATTTAAGGGAACCTCCCCCCCCCCCCTCGATTTTAAGTTTTCAAGATTTTCAATGGGCTGGTAAATGAATACAAATGCTTGTTAAGGTTTGTAACTTTGCACATATATAATTGAAGATTTAAAAGAGAAGAAAAATAATTTACAAAAAAATTTTGTTATTGTTTTGTTGTTGTTTTTTGTAACTAAAGAAAAGTCCATATTTTTTTATGGCGGGCATAATAACTCCTCACTGGAACATCGGAATCCGAAAATTCCAACGGTGTTAGAAAGAGTACATGTCTGGCTCTCGTATGAACTAGGATTATTGACTTGGCTCTAAAATTAACAAAATGGCGGACCTTTGGAAAAATATTTTTGGAAAATCGCCGATTTTTTACCAAAAACCAAGTTAAAAATTAAGGAAGATCTTCACCGATTGACTTTATCCTAGTTCTTACGAGAGCTTTACACTCCCAGAGAAACGTTGCAAAATTTGGAACCGACTGGATTATTAGTTTTTGAGTTATCGTTTAGAGAAAAACGCGTTTAAAGTTTGAGAAGCCCTTCAGCCGTCACTTGATGCTGACACAATAAATCGGCTATATCTTCAAGAGTTCTTGAGATTTTCACTTGAAATTTTGTAGAGACATTCTTTAACCAGTGTAGATTCGAATTATATCAACAAAAATTTTGACCCCGAGAATGGAGGGGGTCCCCTTAAATTTCAGGCTAGAACCTTCATTATTCGGTGTTTTTGGGTTTTTCAACAAAATCCGCTATATTTCAAATTTGATACGGGATGCCATAGTTTTATACACATAATACAAAAACCAACGATTTAATGCTATTTATACCCACTATAGTAGGGAGGGTATATTTATTTTGATTTTCCGTTTGTAACTCATCGAAATAATCATAAATCAGCTTAAAATTCTGTGACGATTTAGATTTTAGATTTAGTAATTACTCTAGCCTCTAAACGAATTGAGATAGACCGCCAACATCTTGCATAGAGTTGTCTTTTTTATGCATGCAGGTCAAATTCGATAACGGGTTAATCGGTCCACATTTAGACATAGCCCCATATAAAGGTACTCCCAATTTTCGGGATTTTTGGGGTTCTTCAGGGGCTCTTTTTCCACTGTATTCGCTGAAATTTGGTACATTGGGTTCTAATTGGGTACCAAGTTTTCCAACTAAAAAATATAAGTAGTTTTTTTTTTTTGGAAATTCCCCTAATTTTCAGTATTTTGGGGGTTTTTGAGCGCATTTCATTTCACAACCGAATTCTCTGAAATTTTGTACATTGGGTTCTTATTTGGTACCATGTTTCTCCACTAAAAATTATAAATATAGTTCCATTTTCGGGTAGCCCCCATATAAGGGTAACCCGAAGTTTTCAGTTTTTTGGTGGTTTTTTGAGCGTATTTTTCAACAGAATTGTCTGTAATTTGAGTTCTGTTTGGGCAGCAAATCTCTCCTCTAAAAATTAAAAATATAGGTAATTTTTTCGGGTAGCCCCATATAAGGGTACACCCCAATTTTCGGTATTTTGATGTTCTTGAACACGGTTTTCTACCGAATTCGCTGTAATTTGGTATTTTGTAGTTGTATATGCTAAAAAATCTCCCTACCAAAAATTATTAATATTCGCATTTTTTCTAATGTTATGGTCCGACATTTTGTATTTATTTTATTTGATTTTCAAAATCTGATTTCACAAAACGTGTCCAACAAAAATTGGATTATATCAATTAAAAAAAAGTTTGATGGTTTTTCGCCGCACTCCTGACCATTTCTCATCTTCCAAAACCACTGTCAGCCACATAATATTTTGGCCGGGGCATAAATCGTGTGGTAGTAATGATGATGATAGCAATGATGAGGCATAAAAAAAATTAACACTAATCAGTCACCTCAATAAACACTGGCTGGCTGTCGTTTTGGGTTGTTAGGTTGTGCACGGCACAGCACGGTAATTGAAAACAACGTCGTTTGGTCATTGACGATTTTCTATTTCAGTTATTTTTATTGCTGTTGTTGCTGCTGTTAATGCACGACTTCAAGACATTTGATCGTGTCATAGGGTTTTAGTCAATCGCACGTTCACAGCCGATATGTATATTAGTATGTACATAAATTTTGTTTCGATAAAAAAAGTGTGTGTATGTATATATAAAGCCTGCCTGGTTGGATTGTTTTTTGTAAAACAAAATGACGAACGCGTCCAATGTGTTTCCTCTTTTTGTTTGAATAAAAAAAAAAACAAATAAAATTTAAAACTTCATCGACAAAAAAAAAACAACAATTACGTTATAAAAATATGCATGTTTGTATGTATATTTTGTAATTTGTAATGAAGTATATATTTGTGTATGCGTATAAGTTGTTGATGAATGCAGTATCGTAAATTTTAGTGAGATTGTTTGCTATTGTAAACAATAACAAAAAAAAATAATTTTCGTCGCTAAAAAATTGTGTTGTTGTTTTTGACAGTCACAAATTAAAGAGGTTCAGATGAAAATTATTGGAAATTTTTGTTTTGAAG